CGGGAGACTCGCCTTCAGCCTTACGACGCCATATGAAAAACCTCTGATTTGCACCCAGAAAAATGGTTTTATCCCATTGGCCATTAACACTCCATCTGACTTTACCTCTACACCAGTTCAGTCATTTTTTCCTGTTCACTTCCCTCACTCTCACTTTTTTCCTTACAACACGCCTGTGATACCCTTATCGATACAGATACCGATACAGATACCGCTGAGCTGTTCGTTGGAACACTTGCCTGGGTATGTGTTGATTTAATCTGTTGGTTAAATCTACTGTTTGTCCGACCAGCCATACTAAACTTCTTTCACCCCTGGGATCAAGAATCCGTGGTCGCTCGCTTCGGCGTTTGTTTTCCGTGCTACCCCTCTTTTTAAATCGTACTATGACTTCTCTGCAATATGCTGTTTACTGCCAGTTTTGAAACTGTAAACAATCTAATAAAAATACTGCAAACGACAGTCTAGCTTCTGGAAATTACGTAACAAAGAATGTGGGGGAATTCCAAAATACTAAAAAAGAACAGACAACAGCAAGGTTTGAAGGTAACCAATACTTTTATTCTTCAGTAATTTTTTTTTATTCGCCGCAATGTTGAATTTTTGTCGGTGACTAATGGCACGTGTCTGTATACCTTTTGAAAGTATGCGTACATATTGAGGAACAAAATACATCTACATAGAGATTTCATAATGTATGAAAGCAGAATAGACATAAATGCATATGTGTCTCTGTGATTGTTAATGGATTTACTTATTTCATAGAATAACGAGTAACAAACTTCATCAATTTTAAAGTTTTCCATGGCATATTAAACAATTAAACTTTATTTTTCTTCTAAAGTCAATTTACCTGAAACCACTGTTTAGATATAAGCTAAGAAAATAGAGATTGTTCCTCTCAATGGTAAATGATTTTTTTCAGGAAAAAGACATACCATTTCTTTTTCGTGATAGATCAGTAGATTATATCTTACTTTCTTTATAGCAACTTTAAATTGACAAGCATACCTGGCATTACTTTATCATATTCCAATGAATGAACACGCTCTGTTAAGTTATGCATTATTGTGTCCAAAGCTGACTCATGCTTGGATATTTGTGATACAATTTGCTTTTCATTTTCTACAGCATGCAAGCGGTTTGAGATATTGTTCCACGATGCATTCATTTGTACATTGTGACTAGTCATTTGCTTATTTGACGCCTTTTCATTTTCTACAGCATGCAGAAGATTTGAGATATTTTTAAGCAATGCATTCATTGGTACATTTTGACTAGTCATTTACACGTTTGACACCTTTTCATTCAAGACAAGGGTTAACTGTCGAATGCCATTTTCCACGGTATGAAGTTTCGTCATAACGCCTGTCAAATTTGTTTCACTGACTAAAAGCGAGCTCGAGTGAGCGTTTTCAACTGTAAGTTACAACACAGGTATTTCTGCATGGAGTTTGTAGATTTCGTTAGAATTGCTTGTAGTCTTCACTGTTTCTAATTCAGTTTTTAAACGATGCATTTTCTGTGCATTTTGTTGTAAGGTATTCTTCATCTGCATCACTTCTAACATGAGAAAAAACAGAGTATCAGGATGAGTCCAGGGAAAGGGCACATAAACTTACACGTGACCTTTTGGCGCAAACGACTGTGTCACCCCTTGACTAGAAGTTAAATGGACAAATCAAGTAGTATAGAAACGCAGTAAAAAGGTCAAACGAACATGTCGTAACGGACCTCGCGTGAAATAAATATTTCTGCATGCAGAAAACTAAAGGAAATAAATACATCATATATTGTATCGGTAATTTGGTTATTTTTCTGCTAACTGTATGGCAGGATAGCATTAAAGAGACTGATTTACGTATGTTACTACGCAAAATAAAACCCATAAACAAACAAACAAAAAAGAAAAATTGTTTATTTTTTTCCCATTTTCAAAGGCGTGATTACATGTACGAAATTACTAATCAATTACCAATGGACTCTTCTTTACATTCAACAAAGATTTATTTACTACATCACCTTTAGTATTGAATGAAAATCAACATAAACTTGCGTGCAGTAAGTAAATATTTGACAGCTTTTAAATATGACCAACAATATTCCATCCATTCCATTCTATGACTTATTTCTAAAAACAAAAACAAAAAAAAACGATTTGTGTTTTGTTTTAATTACTGGGTATAATTGTATTTACGAATGCATTTCTGTAATTATTATTGATGAAAGAAGTACTTAAGTATAATTCAGATTTTACTTATTAGACAAGCTGATTACTGTGAAGTATACGAAAATACACGCACGTTTTGTAACTCTGATGGATTCTAAATGTGCATGAAATTTCGCAAGAATAATAAAAATTGTATTTAAAATCAAAATGAAACATAATCAAAACGAAAAAGAAAAAAAAATATTTTCTGATTAAAATTTTTTTCATTTTTTTTTTTTTTGCTCATTCACATGTAAAGCAAGTACAAAATCAAAGATTAAAAATAATTGAATTGATCTTATAAGAGTTATGTATGACAAACAACATGTGCATCCTGCTCATGTGGACAATTCGCAAAACCAATACCATGGAAATTCATTTTACACTGAACCAATGAGGTTTCCCTTCCTGTACACCCAAGATCATCCAACCAGATTGTGCCTTTTCCTCCGGTTGTAGGTGTTGCCTGAAGTCCTTGTGCAGACCTTTAAAAATTTAAGCTTGTAAATAATTCCAGACATTTTGAAAATATGTAGAATACTATCATTATGTTACATTGTTATAAACCAGATGTTTAAGCCACATATCAAAGCAACTACATAAATATACACTTTGTTGTAAATTTATGTACATGTAAATACATTGTAAGAGTTTGTTTGTTGATAATATATAGATAAGGATCATCAAATGTTAAATAAAACTCACTACAACTAAGTACTTCCAATGTATTAGATCCTAATAATTTAATTTGGTGAAATACAAACTAAATTTTGGGGTCTTAAATCTTAAATTTTTTCCATATAAAGACACCTACAACTCAGCTAAATTTGTACAAAATTGGAAGTAGCAATAATTACTTTGGCAAAATCTGTTGTCGTTACATAATTATGTATAATAAAAAAACAGCATTATCAAAGATAAAAAGAAAATATGAAATGACTTCAAGGTTGTTCTTTAACAATTTGTAAAGCTTTTTTTTGCAACGATAAATGGAAACACATATTTAAGAATATGTGAATATCCATTCGTTTGACAGTTGTTCCATATAAAGTGAATATACATAAAATATGTACATGTACAAGCTCTGAAAATAACATTTTTTAATACTCGATCATCCGAACACATCGTAAGGTTAATTCATGTGACAGACGGTTTTACATGTACACATACATGTATATCATTTTTTTTTATTAACCCATCCGTTTACTCCAACTTCTTACATCCCTGTTTCAAATTGTTCTGTTTAATTTTTGACATTTTAATACTTCTTTTTTCATTTTTTTAACATTTTCAACAGTGAAACATTGTAATTCATTTTTCGAAAATGATACTCTTTCACAGAAAAATGATATCCTTTCACAGTGTAACCAATATCAGAAACGTGGTAAAACACTTGTCTTGCTATCCCATAACAATATTTATTTGTAGAAACTATCTATTGCCTTGTTATCAGATAAAGAGAGCAATTAAATCGTTATTGTATTCATCTGACAGTTTTTAAAGGAATATCTGTCCATTGCACAATATTGTACTACATGTATTTGTCATGTCTCCGGAATATTAGCCCATGGAACCATTAGCCATTTTTGATAATCATAATGTAATTATATGGATAATGGCCCATTCATTAAGAAATTATAACATGATTGTAAATAAGCTGTTGATTTATCAAACTATTGACCATTGATTCGACATTTCTAATATTGTTTAAAGGATATTGGCCCATGTTTTTGTAATGGATAACATTGTTGATGGAATATATTGGTCCCTTGTACTTTATATGACTTATTAGACGCTACTAATTTTTTTTCTCAAAAATCATGGCATCGCCACCGCATGCACCTAATATCCTATTGTTTTCCAACATCTGAGTCACTTGTACGAATCTTAGAAAATCCTTCAATAAAACAAATGGACGGATATCAAATAGACTGCTAATTGTCAAGTAGCATTAATCACAAAGTTACGTAAAAGAAGAAGTGTCTGTGAATCACTAATGCCCCTGTTTTGCAGCATTTACGATGTTTGACTTTTTAAAAAAATGTTTTAAATACAAGTCAAATTCCGAGGTTAAGACGTGATCAATGTTGTTGCCTAAAACCATGTCTTGTCTCGATGATTATAACTCTAAAAATACATGTAATATAAAATCACAAACATTTACTATTGAAAAGGTATCGTTTTCAAAAATATGGACAAACTCCAAGGTCAACTTCAATGGGTCTAATTAAAGGTATCCTTAGGAAGACGTTTGCAAAATAATTATACTTTTAAAATATTCAAGCATACTAAGCAAGGTAAAGATTCACAAGTGAGTCAAACTCAAAGGTAAAAATTTTATCCAAAGAAAGAAATAAAATTATGTGACAAAATGAAGTGGCATTAAAATACATGTATTAATATGATACCCGTGATATCCCAGCATTCTACACACAACTCGAGCTTCGTTATCATCCCAGGAATCGTCACACACAGTACCCCACCCCTCTCCAAGGTTAACTTCAACTCTACCATACATAGGTGAGTAGCCGCCAACCAGGCGTATGTCCACTGAAAAATAAAATTAAAAAACAATGATTATAACAGAAAAGATGGAGCCTATAAGAAGCCTCTTATAAAAAAAAAACACTTTCAAAAAAGACAAATCATCATTTCGTAATTACTATTTTCAATACAATGACCTTGTCAGCGAATACAATTTATTTGAACTTTTTGACACTATGTTCAAGAAATAATATTAACATATATTTACGTGAAAGTCATTGCAAATTCTTGACCTGCGTTTACTTACTGCAAGCAACACCTGCATCATAATAATGTACTTGAAATGGATTTGGATCTGTAGTTTTGCTGCACTGATAGAGCGAGCTCTCACGTCCAGTACAATGGAGACCATAAAGCGACATATCAACATGCCCTGACCCCTTTCCAAAATGTAATGGAGATATTTCATGGATAGCAGCAGCATTTTTACTTAAAGAAATTAAAAAGAATTAAAACAAGAACATTGATGCTCGTGTGAGTGGGGATTATTCTATTTTGTAATTCACCTGTACGTTTTTTATTTTAGGAACCTTTCGAATGTACGGAAGGGAAGTCTATGCAGGATATAATCCCACTACGGAGTTGAATCGAAGGTGAACGAAAATAATCAATAAATTTCGCATATTTTAAAAACATGTAAAACTTATGCATATATTAGAACTGCGAGTCATAAAAAGAATTAATTCTTGACATTTTCCCAGTATCTTGTTTTAAAGTTAAAAAGCAAAATATGTTCAAGTCTTTGGAGAGTACGTCCATGTGGTCTACGTTACAAAATATTTTGTTGATGTTACTTACGTCGGATATCCCAGCATACGACACACTACCTGGGCAGCCTTGTCATCAAAAGTATACCTGTAGCCATCGTGCCTAAGGCCAGGTACAGTGGCCCATGTACCGTTATAAGACACTTCAACTCTCCCCATCCAAATCGTCGATCCATTTACCAATCTGATTCTTCCTGAAATGAAAATTAAAACATGTTGCATTCCGGGCAACATAAGGTGACTCAATTACATAAACTACATGTAAAGAAATGTATGTTTAGATATCTGATATTAAATGTTTTGTCAAATTAAACGAATGGCCTGAACTATTTTTCTTTGGACCATTAAAGTCAGACAAATAATCTTCCAGGCTAATTTTGATTGGATATTATAAATATATATTACACTTAAATGCTTCATGATAAAAAATAGTAAAAATTCCTTGACAGGTAAAATTATGACCGACATATTAATATTGTCAGTCCTCTTTAATTAAATTTCACGTAAATTGTACACACGAAAAATAAGAAAATATCTTCTTTAATATTGACTTTCATTACAACCCAACTAAAGGTCTACCATGCATACGAAATTCTGTGATGTATGGCTTATGAATGTAAGCGTATGCTTAGAAACGATGTTTTTATAGATTAAACTTCTTAAATATGAAAAATACCTAATTACAAAATGTCTTTGTGATTGTTGAAGATGTGAACATTACTTATCTTATTTTATTTCCATAAACGTATTTTATGAAATTATTTTTTCATGGAAAATTTAACAAAATTTAATTCTTTTTCTAAATTAATTTAACTGAAACCACTTTATTTATATATAATAAAAATTCAATAGAGATATGATTGTTTTTAAGATAAATGATGTACGATAAATTCTTTTGTATCCTTTTGTGATTAAGAAAAAGAGTGAAATATGTGGATGAAGCGAACAGAGTACGAGCTGAAGAGTCCTTTTGACATACCAAACTGGAGCGGAGCAAACTGGAACCTCCAAAACATCACAGATATATAGGATCATGTGCCATTGAGGGGTGAGTATATCTTATTACCAATTGCAACTTTATATTCATAAACAAACCTGGCAGGACTTTATCATACTCCAAAGAATGAACACGCTCTGTTAAGTTATGCATCATTGCGTCCAAAGATGACTCATGATTGGATATTTGTGATACAATTTGCTTTTCATTTTCTAAAGAATGCACACGATATGAGATATTTTTAAGCAATGCATTCATTTGCTTGTTTGACACCTTTTCATTTTCTACAGCATGGACACGATTTGAGATATTGTTCAGCAGTGCATTCATTTGTACATTGTGTCTAGTCATTTGCACGTTTGAAACCTTTTCATTCAAGGCAAGGGTTAACTGTCGAAAGCCATTTTCCATGGTATGGAGTTTCGCCATTACGCCCGTTAAGTTTGTTTCACTGACTAAATGTGAGCTCGAGTGATCGTTGATTGCGTTTTCAAAAGTAAATTTCATCACAGATATTTCTGCATGCAGTTTGCGTATCTCATTAGCAATGCTTATATTCCTTCCAGCCTCTAGTTCAGTTTTTAAACGATTCATTTCCTGTGCATTTTGTTGTACGGTATTCTTCAACTGAATCACTTCTTGCATAAGAAAAATCAGAGTATCAGGATGAGCTGCTGGCGTTGTTTGCTGATGGTTATTAATATTTTCTAAGAGAATGCTGTTTGCCTCTTTAATGTTTGTAGCCAGGAAAAACGTTATTAGACATATGACAGCCATTGTATTTGTCCCATGTAAGACGTTATGCTACAAGACGGAGCATACATGTTACTTTTAAACTCAAAATCACCTAATCTGATTGGAAAATTATTTGATTAGTTATTGTTTCGATAAAGAATAAATATCATTGTGGGAAAACAAACAAAATCTCATGAAAAATGATAAAAATTCTTCTTTTCAAGTTAACAGTGGTGTTTAAAGATCGTCTCTAGGAGATTAAAACAATGAGAACTACTTTAGTATCTTTTGAAGTACGAATTTCAATTCATAAATGACAATATTATCATGATATTTGTTTGTTGAAGTCATCATTGAGGTTTTTTTTTATCAAAACTTCCTACAAAAGATGATTTGAAGACTTGCATTAAATGTTTTGTTTCCAGAAGAGGAATCCTCGAAAACAAGAGGCCAAATGATCTTAATAGCCTTTCTGCGTTGCATTTATTTCGAAAGTTCAGCCTTTTGGAATAAAAAAATTGGGAACTGACTATATGGTTTGTTATTTATCATCAGATTGCGTGATGTTTGCTTGCTAGTTCCAATGCATTTCAAAAAAACCTCCATATCATCTACTAAGTCCTGCTCTGAAAAGGTTTTTATAAATAGTTTGATGAACAGGATACACGTCCAGTATATCTAAAGCTTCAGATATACAGTATATAGATAGTTTTCAGTAGACCCATATTAACAAAAGTTATTTCCCCTTGGCCGCCATCTTGTGGGTCGACCAGGTAATTTTCCCTCTTTGTCCTACCAAATATACGAGGGTGTAGCAGAAATATTTGGGGGAAAATCGTTATGGAATAAAAATGAAATAAAGGAGGCTCTAACAAATGTATAATTATCAGAAAAACAATGCTTCCCAGCTCACAATATCCAGTATAAAAAGTTAAAGTTGGTTGAATTATGAAGGAATATGAGCATGTTGACCCACAATATGGCGGCCGAAGGAAATAACTCTTGTTAATTTGGGTCTACTGAAAACTATCTATAGTAATTAACTCGTAATTTAAGGATAAACCTACTGTTAAAAATTATAAAATAATAAAAAAAAAAAAACAAATCTTCCTGTGAAAATTATTTGTCGGAAAAATTGTTCTTTCATTTATTTTTTTTTAAAAGGGGGGTTCATGAGAGTCCTATAATTCTTTGATACTCACATTCTTACCACTATGATACACGTCTATATCTCCTGATAAATAGTGACATTTAGATATAGCCATTGGGGCCTTATGTGCCAGCGGGCACGAAGAGGACAGGGGAGGTGAGGAGATATAACCATTGACTTAATAGACTTTTTTGTGGGAAAATGGGAATTACACGGTATTTGTCATACATGTAAAAATATTTTTTTAAGGTAAAGTGGGGTCTTTGCACCATGTTCAATCATTTTTGTAAAAAAGGAGTGATAGGTATGTTTGATCTTTTTGTCCTTTTTAGTTAGTGCCTGCTTTGAATAGCAAATATTTTTAACAATTACGAGATTTTGACAGATTTAGATATTTTACCTGAAGTCTACTTAAGAAATTGAAGAAATATAAAAAACAGTTAAATATAACCGATACTGTAAACCAACTTTTATTCCCCTGAGACAAATTTTCACTAGGTTTGCAAGAACCTTGTCATCGCGAATATTTCTCTCCTCGAACCGTTCCTTACAGTCTTTCTGTCTTTTAACAGCAGATCCAAATTAAAAAAGACTTGAACACGAAAATTAATCATTGCGAACTATTGTATCCCTGATATCGAGAAATAAAGTCGTTGCAAATAAACGTTGATTTACAGAATTTCTTTTTTCACCTTCTTTGCAGACATTTCGCTGGCCTCTAAATCTTTCACCAATCTGCTTTTAAAAGTACAACTGGTTTAAATGATGTAAGTAAAATGGCAAACATATCAAGTATAATGATTGATACATGTATTTACATATTATTTCTTGTTTAGATTGTTTTTCCCTTATAAGATTAGGTCACTCATAAAAATCTAGACCTTACTTGTTTCCAGTTAAAGGCTTCAAATTTAGACATTAAACTTATTGCTTGATCCACAGACTTCATATGTCAAAGGATTCAAGATTTGTTGTATCAAGAAGTCTGTGTTTCGAATCTCTCATCCAAAAGACATACAATCATCTTTTTCTATTCGATGTAAACATGGCAAAGAAAACGTTGCTTACTATATTCTGCGTTCTATCGACTTTACAACTAATTTGCTTTACGTAAAAACATGGTGGTTGTTTGTTGGCTACCTCTATCAATTTGCTTATTTCCCTTGGTTTTTCTTGCAAAACATTCTTCTCTTGTATCACTTCGTGCATAAGAAAAATTAGAGTTTCAAAGTGACTTGCCAAGGTTGACGAGGTAGGCTGCGGGCAGCTGTTGATATTTTCCTATAAATAGTATTTATCGCTGTTTGTAAAGAAAAAGAATCAATTTCAGTAACGCATGTATTATAAGGGCAATACTGCTTAAAACATGCATACGTATATGATAAATAATAAGATATTTCCCATTTTAGAGTTCATTGTTAGAGTTTAGAGCATTGTAAACCTCCAATTATCGGATCAAGGACAATTATCAGGCTCAATTTTGTCATCTGCAAATTTCCACACGGTATGTCAAAGGTTGCAATATTAGATGTTTTTTTTATTTGTATTGTTTATATCCGTTTCAATTTTTTAATATATTCGATCAGTGCATACTATTTATGCAAGATATATTACTGTATTCAGCGGCGGCTCACACAAATTGGTCCGACCAAAATAGTCCCATCATGATAAGTAGATAAAACATTATTGTTCATGATAAGAGTAAAGTTGTGTATGTCATACGTTATAAAAATCAAAAATAACGTCAAATTATTATTAGAAAATCACTTTCCCCCCGTATTGCAAATAAAAAATATCAATATTCCTACGCTCGCTCCCTCCTCAGCCTTTTTTTTTGACATGTTTGATAACAGAAAATATTTAGGTCATTCTTCGATTCATATCTTTTCACCGATGAATTGATAATACTATATCAACAATTGTATTAAGTACATGTTTATAGTCCTTTAATTATCATACAATTTCTTCTTAAAGAAAAAAAAATCATTCTGTGTGTGTGTTTTATTAAATGACGGAATTTTCAATCCCTGGCCGGATTCAGCTCGTGTGTACACTTGGTAAACTGTAGGGTATATAAAATGTGTAGCAAAACGAGAACTGGGTCGGAGATTCGGGTTCGTGTTGAAGTCAGCATACCATTTTATACAGAACTTGAATTATGTAAGTAATTTCTGCGACGATTACATTAGTATATTTCAGTAATTTTTAAAACAAAAACGTTTTCAGTTTAGAATTTTCCGACCCGGTCCTGATTTTCCTAACCCGGCCATTTTAAACACAAGTTGTTGCAGATGCAAATGATAGAACAAACTATAGTTTAACAGGGATTGTATAATTTTTATTAATCAGAATTCGTATTCATATGATCTAATTAAGAAATGTTTTGTCTGCCATCGTAACTTCTCGGCAAAACAAAACGTGTTTCTCCGAGCTTGCTGGATGCGTTTGACTGCTCCATCGCACGTGTGTAGACCAAGGCTAATGTTGGTCTTGCGGACACAGGTATGTGTACTGTTTGTTAGGACACTGGGTGACCGTAATGCTACGGACTCACGAAATTTACACCAGTTCCATAATTAGACAGTGCAATTTTTTTTATTAAAGTCATTATAAACACTGTTAAACATTAAATCTAAAAGTCGAATATCTTTGGATATGGGGTAACCCATATCTATTCTTGTTATACCTACAAAAGAGAGCATTTGTTAAAAACGACTACACGAGGAATAGAAACCGCTTGCTGTGACCTTTAACTTGACATTAAAATTTATCACTTAGTAGTTGTTTAATATGTCGACTCATTATATTCTATACAGCTTGACACAAAGGACACATACGATTTGCAAAAAATCTGTTTTATATTTGGATGTTTTACTGTCTTTAGACGACAACTAAGAAATAAATTGTATGGTTTAAAAGCGAGCATTCCAATCGACATTTTTTTCTGTTTACACATGTCATATTGTTATTTTCACTTTACCTACTTACAATGATAATGTCTCCCAACATAATGCCTTTTTCTCAAGCAAGATTCTCGCACGTAATTTGATACAGCAGGACTTTCAACAACTTCATGATTGAAATCGGTATTTCGTTAATTATATCGTCGTAATAACGAATTTATTAGCAAATATTTCCAATCTCTTGTTCGTATTTTGGCTGCCTTGTTTCGTTTAATATTTTTTGTGATAAATTTGACTAAAGAATGTTCCGTGTACTTTATAAATTTCTATGGTTCCTGGTGAGTGTGACTGGTCTACAGGACATGTATACTTCTCCTAGGCACTTGAAAAGTTCTGGAATTTCCCATGATCCGCGAACCCTATTGTGATGACGTTGACTTTTGTTTACTTTATATTATGATTGATTTTGTATTTTCCTCGTATGGTTTGGTGGTTATGGGTTTCCGTACTTTTAAGGGTGTGTATATAAGCTAAATTAAAAAAAAAATATTGTTTGGTTAGAAGGAAAACGACGACGCATGGCAGTGAAAGAGGCGTTGTGCCATGTCACGTCTACAGTTTTGGTCACCATAGACGTTTTTTTTTTATGGTGAATTCTAGAAATATGTCTGGAACTGGTACCCAGGGAGCGGTAAAATTCTGTGTGTGATCATTTCTGTTTTCTCAAGGCTGCAAGCTTGATTTCGTTACTATTTATAGGAGGTTGTTCCTTTTTTTCTGTATACTTCTTTGGTGTTACATGTAGGTAGGTGTATTTATTCTGTCATTTGATAGTGAGTATTCTAGAAAAGTCGTTTAATTTATTTTAGTACATAGGGCATAGATTATACGAGAGGCTAGGGGTAGGACGGCAGATATGAGTGGTCAGTTTGGGTCTAGGACCGGGGCATACGGAAGGGCGAGGGCGGTACTACATGTACGTGTACTAC